AGGGGGGTGAAGGGGGCGCTTCGGGGGCTCACCTGCGGCGGAAGAGGAAGAACTTCCTGCGGAGGAAGCGCCGCAGCCGCTGGGCCGGGCTGGATTCCCGCTCCCGCCGCTGCTCCCGCTGCTCCCGCCGCAGGAACAGAGACACCAGCGGGTCCAGCGGGGCCCCCGCGGGCAGCGGCTCCCCCAGGATGGGCCGCAGCTCGGGGGGCAGTGGGGACTGCTCTGGGTGGGGAGGGGGAGTGAGGTGATTTTGGGGTTCCTGTGTTCCCCCAGCCCGCTGACAGGGATTTGGGGGATTCCATAATCCCCCTGGCCCAGTGGCAGGGAAGGGGGGGTGCCATGATCTCCCATCCCCAGTGACAGGGATTGGGGGTCCCCATGATGCCCCAGCCCACTGACAGGGATTTTGGGGGTCCCTGTGATCCTCCCCAGCCTGGTGATGGAATCTGGAGGGTTGCCATGATCCCCCCCCCCCCCCCACGGACAGGGATTGGGGGTCTCTATGATCCCACCACCCCAATGCTCACCAGGGGATGAGATGATAGGAATTTGGGGGGCCATGTGGTCCCCCACACCCCAGTGATAGGGAATGGAGGCCCTCCATGATCTCCCTCAGCTCAGCAGGGGCTGATGGAGCTTTTGAGGGAATGGAGCTTTTGGGGTCCCCACAGTCCCCCCCCACGTCTGGGTGCCCACCATGGGGGTGAGGTGACAGGGATTTTGGGGTCCCCATGCCCCTGGTGCTACCCAGCATGGGAGGATATGGGGTTTTTGGGGTCCCTGTGACCCCACGGAGTGAACTAACAGGGATTGGGGGGGGGTATGCATTGTGTGTCTCCCCATTGCTCAGCAGTGCCAGGGACTGGGGGGTTCCTGTGATCTCCACACCCTGAGTGCCCCCTAGGGGGTGAGATGCTGGGGGTTTGGGGATTCCCATGGGGAGGTATCAGGGACTTTGGGGTCCCCAGGGGTGACATGCCCAGGCCGGGGGATCCCAAGGGTGAGTGCCCAGGCCGAGGGGGTCCCAGGGGTGGGTGCCCAGGCTGGGGGGTCCCGGGGTGGGTGCCCAGGCTGGGGGATCCCAGGGGTGGGTGCCCAGGCGGGGGTCCCTCACCGGTGCCGTTGCGCACGCGGTCCCGCAGGTCCCGCAGCCGCGTCAGGTTCTGCTCCAGCTGCAGGGCCGTGGTGTTGACGTACAGGTACATGTAACACGAGGGCTCCGGGGACACCGTGTGCACCTTGTGGTACTGCCCTGCTGGCAGCTGGGGGGGAGTGGGGGGTGTCAGCACCCCCGGGCACCCCCAAATCCCCTGGGGGGTGTCAGCACCCCCGGGCACCCCCAAATCCCCTGGGGTCCCCCCCTGAGCCTCACCTGCATCCCCTGGCCCTCCTTGAGCGAGTGGTTCTGCTGCTGCTCCACCAGCTCCACCAGCACCTGTCCCCGCAGCACCCGCAGGCTCGTGTTCCCCAGGTCCTCGCTCACGAAGTTCTCCAGGTGCAGGCCTGGAACACACGGGGGGAGGGGGGGGTTGTAATCCACCCACCGAGCCCCTCCCTGTGCCCTGGACCCTGATCCCCCACCTCGAATCGCCAGGACCCCCCATGCCCTGCACCCCAACTCCTGGGACCCCACCCACCATGCCCTGTATTCCCCCCCTCCAAACCCTGTGCCCACCCCCTCTGAAATCCCTGGGACCACCCCCCCTTTCCTCACAACCCTCCCCCGAAACCCTGGGATCCCCCTGTCCACCCCTAAACCCCCCGCTGCCCCC